GTGATGAGCTACTCTCACCAGAAAATAAGCCAATACCTCCGTGTCAGTAGCATGCTTAACTTGATGAGCCAATTCATATTTCTAAAGCCCTGTGTACAAGTACATGTGTGTCTTGTAAACTATAAACCAAAGCCACAGGGCTCAAGTGACTTCACTGGTAACCTGATTCCCTCTGTTAACTGATCAGTTTCTACTCCCTTCAGAAGGGTTGTTGTTGTTGTGAAGTGCCGTCAAGTCAGTTCTGACCCATAGTGACCCTGTATAGGGTTTCCAAGGAGCAGCTGGTGAGCTTGAACCACTGACCTTGCAGTTCAAATTAAGAAGGGTGGACCCAGAGAAACCCTCCAGTAAGTAACGAAGGTATTTACAGCCCAAATAACCAATTCTCCAAGCCTGGCCCACCCATCCCTTCTCATCCCTTACTTCTAACCAAAACTACTCATATTTGTTTCCTGGCGACTCCTTTTAGAAAAACCCACACACATCTGCACATCTGTATATATAACCCTTTTTTTGTTTTGTTTTTATATTTAAATATAAAATACTACTGTGTTACGACTCGATGGCACTTAACAACAACAACAATGGGAACAAGGTAACTCCGTACAATAAATCACAAGGTCCACAGTTCGAGTGCACCAGCTGCTCCTCCAGAGAAAGATGAGGTTTTCTGCTCCCTTGAAATTTTAAAGCCTTGGAAACTGTATACAAGGTCAGAACCAACTCAACCTGATGGCGATGGCACTTAACAACAACTGTTTTATGTTGTAAACGGAGAAACAAACAATAAGTGCTTTTCCTTCTCTCTGGTTACAAGTCAGGCTGCTAACTTCAAGGTCAGCAGTTTGAAACTACCAGCTGTTCTGAGAGAGAAAGATGAGGCTTTCTGCTCCCATGAAGATTTATAGCCTTGGAAACTCTATGAGTGGGAACTGACTCCCTGGGAATGGAGGGGACCTTGATGATGGAATAAAAGCCCTCACTTTTGTGGGAAGAGTTGCTGTTTGGACAAAACTGTGCTTTGAGAGTCTCTTTGTTTGAGCCTTTTCTGTGTTCAGCTGGAAAGTAGGGCCTCTTCTCACTTCCTAGCCTCACTTTTTCTAGGGAGAGAAGAAGACAGAAAGGCGACAAAACCAGACCACTAGGACCCTTAGAGGCCAGGGTGAAGGCTTGAATTCTTACTAGAGTGAGGTGCAGCAGCCAGGGGAGGGAGGGCTCAGCCAAGAGGACAGGATCTGACCCAAGCGTTCACAGGCTTTGTGTGGGGAGCTGACTGTGAAGACAGGGACATGAACAGGGGGAAAATGGAGATTGAGTAGATGGGGAAGGTGGAGCCAACAAGGTTTGCTGAGATGTTGTTGTTGTTGTTAAGTGCCGTTGAGTTGATTCGGACCCATAGAGATCCTGTATAGGGTTTCTGAGGAGCCTCTGGTAAGCTTGAATGTCCACACCCACACCAAATGATTCCAAGACTTAACAGTCCAGGGCATTAACCCACAGCGTCACACCAGGACTCCTGCTGAGAAGTTAAGAGTGGGTGTAAAAGAAAGGAGCTCAGTCAAGGACAACCCAGAAGTGTTGGCTTTTCACTGGGACAAAGCTGTCATTGATTCAGATGGAGAAGGCGAGGAGGAGGGAACAGGCTGGGGAGAAAGGTTGGGAGCTCAGTTTAAGTTGTCTGGAGTTTGAAAGACTCTGGATCCACTGAGCAGGATGTAGAGTCTAGAGTTAGGGACAGCTGTCTGAGCTGAAGATAACAATTTGGATACCACCTAGAGATGGATTTTAAGCTGTATGTGTGTGTGTGAGAAAGAGAGAGAGAGAGAGAGAGAGACCCTGTAGTTTGGGTGGGACCCAGAGGACTAAGGCCTGAGAATTGATACTGGTCTAGGTCCCAATGTTGGAACAGTACTTAGTGAGAAAGTACAAGCCATTTAGACAGCATACAACTGGAAGCCTCACTGGAGGGACAGAGTAGAACCACTTCTTAGGGTTTGAACTGGGGTGGGGATTGGCCCTTCTTAGGATAGGGGACTCCTGAATTGACACTTAAAGTCTGAGTAACTCAGCTCTCCATACACTCCCCCTCCAAAAAAAACCAACAAACAATGAAAATGCAGGAGTGTTCCAAGTAGAGGGCCCAGATCAAACAAAGGCCTGGTAGCTAGGGAGTCCAGGGAGAGAACAGGGAACTGGAGCCACTCAGTTGGCTGGAACTGAGGAGTAGGGAGGGGTGTGGTAGGAAGGGAATCCTGATCAGTCACCACCAAAAGATTTGTCACCAGCCAAGGTTTCTTCCACCCTCTGTGACCTCAGAACCATGACTTGCCTTTCAGAGCTTCTTAAGTCAAGGCTTGTGTCTTAATTGCTCTGGCCTGGCCTTAATAAGCCCTCAGGAAGCATTAGCTGGACTGTGGTTTTGTCTTGCTGTGACCTTATTTTTTGAGTTGTAATCATATTAATAATATGTAACGCCTGGTTAAAGGGACACACACAGACTAGGAAATCTGGCTGCCTAGGTAAACCCTCAGAGCCAGTTTCTCTCTAAAATGGCAGACGATCAATCGCTATGGGGAGATGATATACAGACATGCTTAAAAGGTGCTTGACCTTTATTTTCATCAGTATTATTTATGGATGAGTGAAAGTCAACTGCTAAGGAATCCAGATGAGTTCTTCTTAAGTGCCCTCCAGTTGGTCCCAACTCATAGGCACCCTATATAGGGTTTTTGAGGAGCAGCTGGTGGGTTTGAACTGCCGACCTTGTGGTTCACAGTCCAGTGCTCATCCGGATGGGCTCTTGTTGTTGTGTCTAGTGGTGGTGGTTATGGCTGGGGAATCGGTTTGACTTATAAGGTTTCTGAGGCTGTAAATCTTTCCGAGCGCAGTAGAAAGCCTCATCTTTGGCCCACAGAACAGCTAGCAGTCGGTCACCTGATTCTTAACCACTCTGCTACCAGGGCTCCTCACTGTTGTGTGTGTGCAGAGTACTGGGGGTGGGGGCAAGGGAGGGGAAATAGTAAAGACAAAGGGAGAGAAGTAAATAGCTGTGATTGGAGCCCACCAGCTGCTCCAGAAACCCTACACAGTCATGATGAACGTGAGTCGATGAGGCCAGTCAGAACTAGATGGCACATAATAAGAACATAAAACACTTATCACTCAATTCTAATAGGGGTGAGGAGTGGAGGTGATGTCGCATACTCTTATTTTACAGATTAGAAAATTATCCTTCAGAGATTTCTTGTCACTGTTTGGGGATGGCACGGTTCCAATTCAAGCCTGGCTGGCTTCTAAGGAAGGGACTTAGGGCCAGACTCAGCTTCCTTGGAGGAGCCCTGAGAAAGAACTGGGAACACAGGTTGAAGGCTGGAAGCAGAGAGCAAGGTCTCCAAAGGCAATTTCAGTCGCTGTTTTACCACCCAGTTCTAACCTTATACCCTAATCTCAAAAACCAGGTCGTGGACAGAGGGTTCTTCCTGAGTCTAGGGCCCACTTTAGAGACTGAAGACTGAAACTTTGATTGAGCCTGCCCAGGAAAACTGAGTCTGGTGATTCTTAACTGGGGAGAAGTGACGGAAGGAGGAGGCACCAGTAAGGTTTCCTAGCATAAGTCCTACCTGTGGGTGTAACTGCAGTCTGGGTTGCTGCAGGAGCCGGAAATCCAGCTAAGCCTCAATCCCTGCCACAAGCCAGAGCTTGTCCCCGGAGTGTGAGTCAAACAAAGTTCAGGGACTTCAAATGCTCAGTTTGTGGCGATAGGCCTGGATAGGGACAGTGTGATAAGAAGTGTCTTTTCAAGCGTGTCGAAAACCTCATCCGCGGCCGGGTGTTGGCATGCCTGGTGATATCCGTGACTCTCCAGGTCACTTCTGAGTGCAACTCTCCAGGTGGCCTCACCTGGGTCCGGCAGACGCAGCGGAAGATCTCTCACCCTTTTAAGCCTGGGCGGAATTGGGATCCGTAGCACGGAAACAGAGTGGAGCTGCACTACCCAAGTCACGTTACGCGAGGTGGAGCCGGTGTGCGCCTGCGCAGTTGTTGTGTACCGGCGCTAGGACCGTGCGAATGCCCGCGGAGCAACCAGGCTGTGTAAGTGCCGATTGCTGCCGCCTGAGTCACGGACCCCGCCCTCGGGAGCCGGAGACAGCGGGAGGCCTGTGAGCAGCAGACAGACAAACTGACGGTCGGACGTGTGAGCAAGGCGGTGAGCACCCAGCCCATAATTCCCCTGCACTCCATAATCCCGACCCCGACGGCCCCCAGACCTGATTAGACCGTATAGACCTCAGGGGTCTTAGACCCATGACCTTAGATTCCTAGGATCCCCAGACCTGTCCGGCCCCCGTTATCCCGGCCCTGGGAATCTTCGGTCTCACGACCCAAGATACAAGACCATAGATCCGAAATTTCCTGTGAATTTTGCCCTAGGGCCTCCAGAACCAGGATCCTAGATCTGTGTCTCCAATTGCAACGGGAATCCCGTTATCCCGAGCTGAGGAGCTCACTTTGACGATCTTAGACCCCATCTCACTGGCCTAGCGGTGTGATACCGTAATTTCGCCACTGGGCGTTCCATGTTGTAAATTTCCTAAACCCCCACTCCGAGAGCCTGCAGGCCAAGGACTTGGAAGTCCTGTGCTGAGTTCTGGATCTCTGATTCGAGCACCCAGACGCGTCAGGGACGTCTAACACCAACGTGAGGTTCCCCACCTGGTGAACCCCTCAAGACCTGGACTCCTACCCTTAATGATGCCTATGAGTGGATTCAATCTAGAGCCCTTCAAGACCTACAGGGTCTCTTTAGATCCTAGGGGCTTTCAAACCTTACCCTCCGTCCCTCTACAAGTCCCGATCCCATTCCAGCGGGACTCCAAAGCCACAGTTAAAGGATTGGTCCCCACCCAGAGGCCTCAGATTCCTCCCAGTTCCAACTCCGGAAATGCGTATGGGGGGGGGGATCAAAGACTTGACCCACTCTTTCCCCTCAGGAGTCTAAATCGCAGCGATGTTTTTGGTCAACTCGTTCCTGAAGGGAGGCGGCGGTGGTGGCGGCGGTGGGGGCCTGGGTGGGGGCCTGGGGAATGTACTCGGAGGCCTGATCAGCGGGGCCGGTGGCGGTGGCGGCGGCGGTGGCGGTGGCGGCGGAGGAGGCAGTGGTGGTGGCGGTGGAACGGCCATGCGTATCCTGGGCGGGGTCATTAGCGCCATCAGGTAAGACAAGGCCTGGAGGAGGGAGAGACCATAAAGGATAGGTTAGGTAACTTGCACAGTGGCCTCATGCTTAAGTGTGGCGTGGCCATAGAGCCCGAGCACTCTGAGGCCACTTAGTTCATTGAGGCGGGGCTTGACTTGGGGCGTTGTCAGTCTGAGTCAACACGGATGTGGGTCATGGAGCAGCTGGGACCTGATGGGACCTGGCAGGGTCTTGGGAGGTGGGGCTTAACGAGGCTGGGCGTGGCCAGCAAGAGCTAACCTAGGATACACATTTTGAGGGGGTGGGCCCAATGAGGCTGGGGGTGTGTCACTAAATTGGGGCGGGGCTTGAAATGGGCTTGGCCCGGGTTGTCCTAGAAGGGTCTCTGAGAAGTTGGACCCAGAAGAGGCTGTGGCCTGATAGGATAGTGGAAGTGGATCTTGAAGAATCAGTGGTTGGTTGGGAACCAGCTGGATTAATGAAGAAAACAGTGCCGTATTGGGGGCATTATGGCTAATAAGCGATGAGCTGGACCTAAGAGGTGGGGCAGGGTGTCAGGAAAACAGGCATTCAGGAAGGGGTCATTAGAGTAGGATACTGGGCAGATGGGATCTAAGGAGGTTGAGGCAGACTCTGGAGCAAGCCCTTGAAGGGGCGGGGCCTATTGCCTTTTGGTGGGATTCTGGGTTGAGAATTGGGTGGAGCCAAAATGATTCTGGAATCTGCCATTGGGAGGTGGGCTGGGGAGGGAGTGGAGCCTGCTGTGGGGGTGGGCTATACCTTCTTCCCGGATGGGGTTGGCCTGATGGAAGAAAAGGGTCACGACCAGGGCAGAAAGAACAGGGACAGGTGAGGACTAGAACAGCTGATGAGGGCAAGAAAACCAGTTACGGTGGTTGGTGGGCGAGGTTTGGGGCGTTGGGATGTCGGGCTTGGGGTTAGCGATTTTTCAGAGTTGCCGGTTGGAAGCCCCACCCCCTAGCCCTAACTCCTGCATGTTTTTTCTCAGTGAGGCGGCTGCGCAGTACAACCCGGAACCTCCCGTGAGTTCCCCGCACAACTGAAGAACCCCTTCTTCCACCCCAGAATTGCCCAATTCCATCGTTGTCCGTTTGGAGAAGCCCTACCCCTTGCTCTCTGATGAAATCCCTCTTTCATTAAGTTCTTGCCTTAATGAAAGTCATAGCCCCCCAAACAAACACAGATAACTCTTCCGCAGCCACTGTCCCTCTCCCACTTCCTTTGATCACCCTATCACCCACCTATTCTGACTCCCCACCCATAATTGTTCTGAGATTTTCTCCTCTTCAGCCCCCACGCACCCATTACTCCAATATTGAGGCCAATGAGAGCGAGGAGGTTCGGCAGTTCCGAAGACTGTTTGCCCAGTTGGCTGGAGATGTAAGTAGCTCAGACCCCTAGCCTTGTCCTAACTTTCCCTGGTTTCCTTTGCACAACACACATACACACTTGACCATGACAGCCCTCAAAATTCCCATTCTGTTTTACAACCTGCCCAGACCCCTGACCCTCACTTAACTACTTCTACTCTCAGGACATGGAGGTCAGCGCCACAGAACTCATGAACATTCTCAACAAAATCGTGACCCGACGTGAGTGACAAGAGTCAAGGCCTAGGGTGGGTTTAGGCATGGGGCCTGCGTGGTGGCTGTGATCTCTGACTCTGACCTCCAACCTGCCCCCAACAGATCCCGATCTGAAGACGGATGGTTTTGGTATTGACACGTGTCGGAGCATGGTGGCTGTAATGGATGTATCCTTGGGAGCAGTGTGGAGGAGGTGCTGCGGGAAGAGAGAGTTTTCGGAGTTGGGTTGGGACAGCTAGGGTATAGCTTTTATACCCATAGATGTGGACATGTGTATTTCAGAACTATGGGTGTGAAAATAGTCAATAGAAACATGGGTCCCCATTAATAATTAGTGTTATTAATCGCTAAGATTTTATAGCTACCCTGTTATATACAATGATTTTATAGGTGGGGAGACAGGCTTAGAGAGGCAATCATTTGTACATCATAAAGAAAAAGTGGTAGGGTAGAAATTTAGACTCGGATCTTTAGGAGTTGAAAATCCAAACAGGTAACTTCCATAAATGTGCCCACTAAATTATTATATAAATATGTTATTCCCAAGGGCACCACCTCCCGTATACATGACCACATATGGAAGCCTGTACACAGGAAAACACATATGTGCATATCAGCTGGTCTTGGGTGGCACACTCAGCACACAGGTATATATTGTCACGTGCTGCTCATATACTTGTTGAATGGAGTTAAACAGTCCTTCAGTAGAATTAGAACAATCCCAGTTTTCCTCTGTAGCAAGGTTACTGAGTCTCTCTTCCTTGATTTCTCTATCAAAAACGGAGCTAATGTGATACTGAATTGAAGCTACATGCAAAGAGCTTAGCACGGCACATAGCACATAGTACGAGCTCTGTTCCCATTGTTGTTATGTGTCGAGTCAGTTCTAACTTATAGCAACCTTGTATAAGGTTTCCACGGAGTGACTGGTGGATTTGAACCGCCAGCCTTGTAGTTAACAGTCCAGCGCTGATCCTACAGTGCCGCATTAGCTGTCATTTTTATCTGAATTTAGGCAGACTTTTCATCTTGGAATCTCTTTTGCAGCTACTGGGTAAGATTTAGTGAGAAAGTAATGTTCCTCAGGGCCTTAACACGGTGCCTGGCATGTACTAAGTACTTGGTAAATCATGGCTGTTTTTATTTAATTATTAAGAACTCATTAAATGCAAGAACCTGAGCTAAGGGCTTTATGCTAATATCTCATTTTGTTTTTATCACAAATCCAGCAAGTACTTCCTGTCATCTTACAAGGAAACTTCAAAAAGTTCGTGAAAAACTGGAATGAAAAGAAAATGGAAATTTTCCACAAACTTTTTGAAGCTCCCTTCTGTATCTCTTAGAGTGCTAAGATTATACTCTTGTTTCTTGTTACAAGTTTCAGTAATTATGAAATTGAGATACTTATCATGAAGAATGTGTCCTTTTTTGAAAGAAAAATCTTTCCCGTTGAAAAGAAGAGATTTACAGCTTTGGAAACCCTCTACAGGGTTTGACACGTGTTAGACAGAGCATGGTGTCATGCTATGAGTTGGAACTGACCTGATAACATACAACAACAAAAATCTCACACACACACTTCTGTGAGTTTGTACATACAAGAGGCCTTAAAGTTCGTGGGAATAAAAAAGAAACAATTTTCCACAAACTCTTTAAAGCCCTCTTGTGTGTATTTCCCCATGTAAACAAAGAAAGTCTACATTGCATGTTGTCTTACTTTCCCCTGAAGAGCTGTTACTAATTCCCAGAGCTTTTTCACTATCAATAATTTGATATAGGAGGAATTTACAACTATTTTTAGGTGAGGAGTTAGTAGTTGGAAGATTAATATCATTTTCCATGTTGTATTAAAAAAAAAAAGAGAGCCCTTATTATTTAGATGCACAATGTAAATTTTGTGTGGGTAAATGAAAATGAAATCATACACCCCAGGTGACAAGAGCAGGGTGGAATGGGAGCTGGAAGTTTTCTCCTGTGTTCCTCTGCTTGGCTGTTATTATTATAATATACCCAGTGACCCATAGAGTGCACACATCTGGGTAGGTCATCACATTGTTCTTAACACCCTCCCACCAGAGTGACACCACAGGCAAGTTGGGCTTTGAGGAATTCAAGTACCTGTGGAACAACATCAAAAAGTGGCAGGTGCGTGGCACCCTCGGAAGCTCCCACCATCCAAATTTCCAAACCATGGAGATGCTGTGTTCTTTGAGGCCCATTTGACCTCTGATGCCTCTACCCCCACAGGCCATATACAAACAGTTTGATGTTGACCGCTCAGGAACCATCTGCAGTTCTGAACTCCCAGGAGCTTTTGAGGCAGCAGGTGTGGCTGACAGGGACATGGTGGGGTTGGGGGTAATTGGGGAAGCAGCTCCCACTGAGCTGATCTAATCCTGTATTGTGGGAGTGGGTGAGCCCTATGCCCCCCCCACCTAAGGGGCTAAATCATTCTCAGGCTTCCATCTGAATGAGCATCTCTACAACATGATCATTCGACGCTACTCGGATGAGGGAGGGAACATGGATTTTGACAATTTCATCAGCTGCCTGGTCCGGCTGGACGCCATGTTCCGTAAGTCATGCTGTTCCTCTTCCCACATGGGTTTGGCTCAATTTACAGTGGCTCAGGTCTTTCCTAAGACACAACGGTAACCAAGACAATCTGAGTTCCTGCCTTCATGGAGCTCACAGTCCAGTGGAGGAGAGAGAACTCATCAAACAGGGATATCCCAGGATGGTCATGGCTGGGATAGAGGAAGTCTGGACAGTGATTGGGGCTATGCTGTGGGAAGGACAGACCAGAGTGGTCAGGGTGGTGATGGGAGAAGTTTCCGCCAGAGAGAATAGTCTACAGAAGTCTAGAAGGGAAAGAGAAGGTGGTGCTTTTGTTGGGCTCCTAGGTGTTCAATGAGAAGGGTGCTGAAAGGAGAGATTGTGAATCTGGGAGCAGTGAGCGGGGCTGGCTCAGAGTGCTTTTATGAGCATCAATGACTGAATCCTTGAGACTCTCTTGAGAAGTAGGAATGGGCATCCCCAGTTTATGGAGGGAAGAACTGGGGTTCAAGGAGGCAAAACTGCTTGCTAGGAAGTGGCAGATGCAGAATTTGGACTCAAATCTTTCTGATTCCTGAGTTTAAGAGTAAAGTGAGAGGAGAGAGCTGGGCAGGGCAATGAATCCCAAATTCAGGACTACTGGGGACATTGGGGGAGCCAAGGTGTGTTCTAGACAGGGAAGAAATGGGGTCAGGCTTGGATTTAGGAAGGTCTCCCTGGTCTCCCGAGAGCCAGGGAGGAGGGCAGTGTGGAGACTGGGAAGACAGCCTGGAGGCAGAGGCATCCGGGGTAGGGAGGCTTGAGGGGTCTGTGAGATTGTCTCTGTCGGGGAAATCTCACAAGAGGAGGAGGAGCAGGTTTAGGGAAGATGCTGAGGTTTTGGGTTATGAGGGCCCTATCTAGGCACCTTTAAGACCTGTGGATCAGGAGCAGAGGGAAAGCCAAGGCCAGGAGTAGTGACTCAGGAGTGTGTGAAGAGAGAGCATTTGGGAGCCAGGACTTAGCCCTGGGGCTGGGAAGGGCAGGTGGTGAGTGGGAATAGCATGAAGAATAAGGGTTGAGGAAAAGGGACAGAAATGTGAGCCATCAGAAACTTGAAGGGAAGCTAGATGTGGACAACAGTACAGATGATGCCATGTGTCACAGAAGAGAAGGCCCAAGAAACAACCATTGGATTTACTTGTACCAGCAAGGGGACCATTAGTAACTAGAGTCAGTGCAGTGTCTATATGTGGGCACCTGAAGGCAAGAATGGGGGACCCTGCCAGACTCTAGGGACAGGGAATGACGATGGGACCTGTAGAGTCTCCTTCCAACAGCCTGTTTGGGCTGGAACTGGAGGTGATGGCGAAGAAAAAGTAAACTTAGATGTAGCTTAGAGGTCAGTGGGAAGCTTGTCATAGTTGGGACTCAAGTCAGTATTGTTAAGCGCCCTCAAGTTGGTTCCAGCTCATAGCAGCCCTGTATAGGGTTTCTGAAGAACAGCTGGGAGATTTGAAACACCAAACTTGCAGTTAGCAGTCCAATGTTTACTGAGGTGGGTAAGAGGCTAGATTGGAATTCCAGTTTTCCAATATTCTTGCTATGTGACTTGGAGCACATCACTTCTTTCTTTTTTTTTCCTATAAATTCTTTTTCACTGTTTAATTATTTGCTTTATTTATCTTAACCAGCAACTTAGACTAGTTGGAAAGTAATGGTAAGAAATACAGTTCCTATATTGTACCAAGTACAAAACCATGAGGTAAACCCACTGCTGATGGGTCCAATCTGATTAAGATCCGCCATGTAAGACAGAGTAGAACTGCTTCCTAGGATTTCCGAGGCTCTAAATCTTTATGAAAGGAGCTCTGGTAGAGTGGTTACGAATTGGGCTGCTAACCTCAAGGTTGGCAGTTCGAAACTACCAGCTGTTCCGTGGGAGAAAGATGAGGTGGTCTGCTCCCGTACAGATTTACAGCTTTGGAAACCCTGTGTAGGGTCACTATGAGTCGGAATAGACTCCACAGTACTGAACAACAGCAACAACAACAAATCTTTATGAAAATCATGACTGGTGGGTTTGAACAATATGTTGTTATTTAGTGCCATCATAGAGACCTCGTATCAGGTTTTGGAGGCTTTAAATCTTTTTTCCTTTTTAGTTTTTATTGTGAATTGAGTGATAGGCTACATGGTAGAGCATCAGTTTTACACTCAACCAATTGCATCTTGTTTAATTGCAATGATTACAGTCCCCTCCATGTGCCATTGGTTAGCAGTATTTGTTTCTTCTCTCTCTCTTTTTCTTTTTGATCTACACAGAGACATTCAAGAATATATGATCGTTTAAACAACCAAAGAGCAGATTTTGCAGACCGGCCCCCTGGCCATTAGCTTTATACTTTGTTTTAAAATGACTCATAGCTCACGGGATTGGATGAAATGCCTTAATACAGGGGAAGTGCTGGGCATACATCATCCAGGAGTCCTGCGGGTTGCCCTGCTGGAGAAGCATGTGGCAGTGTGCTTCCGTAAGGAGTTACAGTCTTGGAAACTGTAGGGGGCAGTTCTTCCCTGTTCCATAAGCTCACTCTGAGTAGATATTGATTACAAGTGGGTTTGGCTTTGTTACATATCATCTCAGATGTTCGAATAATATTCTAAAAGCGAATTTCTTCCTCCCTCCAGGTGCCTTCAAATCACTTGACAAAGATGGCACTGGTCAAATCCAGGTGAACATCCAGGAGGTAAGAACCCTCTTCTCAGGGTATCAGTGGCTAGTGGGCACCTCAGCCCTGATGCATCAGCTCCAAGCTTGGCCCCTTCCTCCCAGTTTCCCCAGCCACCTCTGAGGGAAAGCAGAGCAGCGGGTCCGACTCTGTCCGGATCCCCTGTCATTCACTCTCTGTACCTCCCTCTCTCCAGTGGCTACAGCTGACGATGTATTCCTGAATGGGAACCCCAGACCTCCCCCTTCATCGCCTTGCTGTAGGAGCCACCTCGGACCCCTGGGTCTCTCCCAGAGCTGATCATCTCTGCAGTCATGTCTTCATGGGTCCTGTGAACCACAGGCCTCTTCATGCTCCTAGCCCTTGGCACCGGTTTCTGAGTCAACAGCCAGGGCCCCTAGCTCTAAGACACTCCCTGTCCCAAGAGTTAGCCCCACCCCCGACACACCTAGCTCACCTCTACTCCCTAACCCTCTCATGCACCCTGTGCCAAACCCAACACTTGTGTTGCTTCCACACCCCAAGGGCCCGTCTTTCAGTTCTAGGAGGATCCCTCTAGTCCCTACACACCCTGTCACACCCATTCAGTTACCTCCCTGCTCTTTCCAGGGCGCCACACACCCTGGTGCTTTGGTCTGGATTCTGTTCTCAGCCTGCCAGGCCCAGGAGAAAATAAAAGCATACCAGTTGCTGATCTCTATGGGACCTGCCTCCTGTTCTTCAGGCTCAGTGTGGAGCAGAGGGAGGCTGGGTTCTGGACTGCTTTTATTTGTCTCCGGGTCTGTCCTCATCTGGGTGTTTTTCTTTTTTCTTCTCCTGGATTCCAGTTCTTGCTGAGGTCCCTCGCAGATCCTGGAGGTGGGGCTTGAACCTGGGACCTAGAAGCCCAGGCAGTCTTTGCTCCTGCTTCCAGAGAGAGACCCTGCTGGTAGGGAGGACTTAGTGCCACTCCCTTCTCTGCCCCCCAACGTTGTCTCTATTAGCTGCTGTCCTTGAGTATTTCTTGGGATCTGCCTTTATTGTATCCCAGACCTTACCCTGGATCTTCCTTCCCAGCCTTGGATCTCTAGAGGGAGGGGCTGCTTTTCTGGAATTCACCATCCACTGGAGAACCCCACATCAGACCCAGAGGGGGTCCTAGCCACTATGAGATGGTTGAGAGGCAGCAGCATCAGAGGAATAGCCCAAACCAGGAGGAGGGATTGGGGTTGCCACTAGGCTATCCCTAGGGCAGAGATCCCTGGGCTGGTATGGTAGGAGGATGAGTTTGAGGAACATACACAAATATACACAGACTAGAACTGGGGTATAGGTTCCCCCAAGAAACTGGTATATTTATTGATGTTAGTCTAAGTCCCTCCAGGCCCTCCAAGCATCTTGGTCTCACTTCTTGTGGGGGTAGGAGGCCCAGCCCAGGCAGTACAGGCTGTAGACGGTGCCTACAGAGGGAGGTAGAAGGAATTGAGAATGTGATCCTAATCCTCTTCCTAAACCCATTTCAGGATTTAAGCCTTGGAGCCTAGCAATAGTTAGACTTCATCTACCTTCCCAAACCATAGCTCAGCGGGGAGTACCTTGGTGTGGATCCAGACTGGACTGATGGCTTCTTCCCCAACTCCAATCTGGGCTTCATCTCCCTCCTAGGACTCAAAGCTCCTTAGAACCCAGGGCCAAGCCCTAGACAGCCCCTGTACCCTAGTACTCCAATCCTCTTTTATCCTGTCCCACTCAGGACCTAAAGGCCTCTAAACTCCAATCCTCTTTTATCCTGTCCCACTCAGGACCTAAAGGCCTCTAAACTCCAATCCTCTTTTATCCTGTCCCACTCAGGACCTAAAGGCCTCTAAACTTCTCCCCTCCCCAAGCCTGGGACCCAACCTCTTAACCACCCAGGTCTCTTGAATCCCGCAGCCCCAGAGGCTCTTGGCCCTGCACTCACCCCCTAAGCACAGAGCCATAGTCAGGCGGTATAGGATGCCGTCCATTCCCCCGCCTTTCAAATGCACCGGAAGGTCATTGTCTGCCTACAGCAGAGGCACAGCATGAGAAAAGGTTACAGGTTACTCTGTTGACTGTATCCCCTACTTGACTATAAAGAGGAGAGCCTCTCAGAAGCCCACCCTGCAGCCCCACATCGTCCCGGACCAGACTCTCCTGCGCCCACCTGGAACAGTTTCTGTTTTTCCGCGACTCGGTTCTCCATGCGGTTCCTGGCTGTGGAGCTAAAGGAGCGAATCAGCGCCTGGGAAACCTGCGACGGAAGGGAGTGGATGGGTATAGATAGGCCAGGCTGTCTGAGGCCTGGATGTGGGACAACCCCGTCTCATGGTTAGTGTCTCAAAGGCAAGTTTGAAACTGATTAAGCGAGAGGGCTCCAAGCCACAGAGGTGCTGATGAAGGGCCCTCTCACCTAGAGAGGCTGGCTAGGAGGTTACCAGGTGGCCTAGAGGGCCCTGGAAGGGGAGCGGACCCAGAAGACTCAAGATTTAGTGGGGGTCTAAGCCTGGAGCTGTTTTGAGGGGGCGTTTCCTGAATTGATGTGCGGAGACCCAAGTCTTTGGAACTGGAGTCCCCAGGGGATTTCCAGGCCATCAAAGAGGGGGGAAGAGGTGGGTACAGAGGTGGGCTTGAGGTGAATACAGACATTGAGTTCCCAGCGCTGAGTTATTATTTAAGGGAGTGAGGGAGCCCTAGATGAAGGGATAATAGAGCTTCAGACCCAGGGCTTGGGGCCATGATAAGGGGGTCCCTGGCTGTCTCAAAGGTCTTGGATAGAGGGGGAGCCCCGAACCCTTAATAGGTTCACGTTCCCAGGGTGTTTAGGGTGTCTAGTATTGGGGCTAGAGCTTCCTAATTGGGGCCCCGTAGGTTTCCTCACCCGCAGGACCCTCATTCTGCGTCCTCTTCGGCCGGAGTCACCTCCCCTTTAAGCCCAAGGACACTGAGTACTCTCCCCTCCCCACCAGGAATCCCAGGCCCCGCCCACAACAGCTGGTGGGGTGGGGCCTCAGCTGTGGGTCCCGGAAGCGGCAAAGTTGGGCAGCAGGGGTTTAGAATCATCCAATAAGCAGCGCGGAGAAAATGTCAGGTGGTGGGAGCACCTATCTGTTATTCATTTCGGAAATTCCATTGGTACTGTTGTTATTGTTAGGTGCCTTGAGTTGATACCGACTCCGACTCCTAGCGACCTTATTGCACAACAGAAACCCTGTCCTGCGCCAATCTCACAATTGTTGCTATGTTATTTTCTTAACATTTCAGGAGGCTGGAAGTCCATAGTTACAGTGCAGGCTCGGGGAAACGGTCCTTGACTCCTTTAAGCATCTCTAGACCCATCATTCCTTGGAGATTGCCATACATCTTGGCACCAAACTTCTGGATCTAGGAGCTTCACAGTGCAGGGATGCTAGGTGCAAAGGATACATTCCACTTTGGGCTCGCTCTTGGTTGGTAATAGGTCCCTCAGTCACCATAACCTTCTGAGTTGACCTCTCTGTCTTGAATTTCACTGGCCCAGAAGAACCCCTTGATCACTGTTTTTATTGGCCTCACTGCTAACCACAAGGTCGGTGGTTGAAACCCACCAGCTGCTCCTTGAACCCTATACAGAGTCACTATGAGTGAAAACTCACTTGAGGTCACTTAGTAACAACAACAACAACAACGAGTCTAAGACAAATGTATTACACAGAGAACTTGTCTGTTTTCAGAAGCAGCTTCTTGAATCAGGCTTCCTAACTCTTAAGTCATAGTTTAGGAGTACATTCTTGACTTCATCACTCTAGGGGTAGCTTCAGAGTATACAGCTTTCCTGATAGGCTGGGGTTTTTTTAGGTGTTCTGAGAGTCAGTCCTGAAACACAGGATGTGCAGTGTAAACAATGCGATTTCCAAAGGCCCTACATTCAGAAGGGCCCCAAGCTTGAGGTTTAATGCTCTTCAGATGGTGGCCTATTGAAATTCTTAACAATGTTATCTTTGAATCTGAGTTTCCTAAATGACGTCTGATTAATGGGAACCATACATTGATAGAGAACTAGGATTCTCCCCACTTCATCATGTGTCCCTAACTAGACTGCCAGGATATTTGATTATTTTAAACAATTAAAAATTTTTATATGTGATATGCTATTGTGGTGTGTTAAAAAGAGTCAATACAGCTTAGAAATATATACCCAAATATTTTTTGGTGGAGTAGTATGATGTCTGATGTATCAGTTATCTACTGCCAAGTAGCAAATTGCCCACTAATGTAATAATTTTAAACAACAATAAAGCATTTATTAGCTCACACAATTTTTGTGGGTCCGGAATTTGGGGATGGTTTATCCTACCCAGACACACTGTATGAGCTAGAGCTCATGTTAAGTTGGGGAGGGAAGGCTCCTTGGTTGCACAGTGGTTTAAACACTAGGCTGCTAACCAAAAGTCAGGGTTTGAACTCTCCAGCCATTCCTTGGGAGAAAGATAGACAGTCAGCTTCTGCAATTTACCGCTTTGTAAACTTTATTCCAAATTACAGCAAAAAGTTAAAGAAAAACAATAAAGAAAGATTTACTGCCTGAGGCACTTCAACTCTGCTGTGTTGTGTTAAGTGCCATCCAGTCCAGTTGGTACCGACTCATAGTAACTCTATGCACAACAGAATGAAACACTGCCCGGTCCTGGGCCAACCTCACAATTGTTGCCACACTTGAGCCCATTGATGCTGCCACTTTGCCAATCCATCTCGCTGGGGGTCTTCCTCTTTTTCTCTGACCCTCTCTCTTATCAAACATGATATCCCTCTCCAGTGACTGGTCCCTCCTGACAGTATGTCCGAAGTATGAGAGATTGAAGTCTGGCCAACTTGGCCTCCAAGGAGCACTTTGGAGTGTTCTTCTTCCAACACAGATGTATTGGTTCTTTTGGCAACCCATGTCCCTTTCAATATTCTCCTCCAACACCATAACTCACAAGCATCAATTCTTCTATGGTCTTCCTTATTCACTGTCCAGCTTTTGCATGCATATGAGGTTATTGAAAATACCATGGCTTGGGTCAGGCGCACCTTAGTCCTCAAGCTGACATCTTTGCTCTTCAACACTTTAAAAGGTTCCTGTGCAGCAGATTTGCCTAATGCAATACGTCGTTTGATCTCTTGACTGCTGCTTCCATGAGTGTTGATGGTTGATCTAAGAAAAATGAAGTCCTTCACAACTTCAATCTTTTTCTGTTGATAAGAATCTTGTTTATTGGTCCAAATTACAACAAAAAGTTAAAGAAAAAACAAGAAAGAAAGATTTACTGCCTGGAGCAGTTCAACTCTGCTCTATAGAATCACTTGAATTCAAGGAAAGCAGTCAGCAAGGATGTAGACTTAATTTTGGCACCTTTTCAGGTCAAGAATCAAACTTTGGTGTCACTATGTTGCCACCTTGTGGCAGGTATGGAACAGCAGCCTCTTCCACAGGACTAGATAAATTCACAAGGTTTAAAGAGAGTTCTGTAGGATCAGCACTAGACTATAAACCACAAGGTACAGATAGGGTCGCTGAGTCGGAACCGATGGCACATAATAGCAACATAGCTTAGTCCTGGTGTAGCGCTCAGGGATAAGGCACTGGACCAAAGGTAAGCTTGAACCACAAGGTCGGTGGTTCAAACTCACCAACCACTCCCTGGAAACCCTATACAGGGTCACTATGAGTCAGGACTGACTCAGTGGCACTTAACAACATAGCTTAGAAATAAATACTACCTCACATGCATGTGAACGTTGGACAATGAATAAAGAGGACCTTAGAAGAATTGATGCATCTGAGTTGTGGTGTTGGAGAAGAATATTGAGAGTACCATGGACTGCCAGAAGAACCAGCAGATATGTGTTGGAAGAGGAAAACCCGAGTGCTCCTGGGAAGCCAAGATGGTCAGACTTCATCTCTCATGCTTCTGATATATTGAGGTCATATTGGGGAAGGGGGAGGAGGGAACTTGTCCCTGGAGAGGGTCTCATGCTTGGTAAAGTGGAAGGACAGTGAGTGGGAGGGATAGCCCTGGCAAAATGGATTGGCACAGTGGCAGCAGCAGTGGGCTCAAGTGTGGCAGCAATTGTGAGGATGACGCAGGACCGGATGGTTCTGTTGTGCATAGGTTCAACGTGAGTCGGAACCGACTTAACACTTGACAACAACATGTGCTATGTTGGTGGCACAATGGTTTCCATGTTGGGTTACTATTTGAATTCACCAGCTGCTCAGAGGGATAAAGATGAGGGTTTCTGCTCCAATAGAAACCTTGGAAATTCTATACAGGGTGCTGGGAAATTCTATACAGGGTGCTGGGACTCAGAATCGACTCCATAACACACAAGAAGAAGATTCATAAAGTGTGAAAACGAAACCCAAACCCATTGCTGTAGAAGTTGATTTGAATTTATGGCAACCCCATATGTTACAGAGTAGAAATGCTGGTAGGGCTTTCTTAGCTGTAATCTTTTTTTGTTTTATTTTAACTTTAAATTGTGAATTGAGTGATAGTTTACAAGATCATCAGCTTTATATCCAACACGATACACTTTGTTTCATCTCAATGAGTACAATCCCCTCCCTGCAACAACAGTTATCCAACTTCCTCCCTGTGGCTCCCCATTTACATCTTACATCTCACAAATGAAAAAGCAAATATATCTGATGTACATACACACAAAAAGAAGGAGCTCTGGTAGTGTAGTGGTTACGAATCGGGCTGCAAACCTCAAGGGCAACAGTTTGAAACTTCCAGCGGTTCCATGGGAGAAAGATGAGGCTTTCTGCTCCCGTAAAGATTTGCAGCCTCGGAAACCCTATGCAGGTACGCTATGAGTTGGAAACGACTCCACCGCACATAACCACCACTACCACCACAAATAAAAAACAAAGAATATATATTCACTTAAATGTCCAAAGAGCATTTAGAGGACCAGGCACACAGCCTTACTCAGTCCATACCACTGCCTCTGCCACCATCTCTGCTATCTCTGCTTTTCTAGGTAGGGATCTCACTCACACTCCATTCATGCTCTTCCTTCTTGATGGTCCTGGGATTGTCTGCTCTTGAAATGAAAGATTAACTACTCCCTCCTTATAGTTAGATATCTTCTAAAATTACAGTTGTGACCATCACAATTAATCCTGCTAGCAATTATTCATAATTAAATAAGAATATCCTATCAGCATCACCCCTCATCCTCTTTCATCAAATCCATCTGGAAAACTATTCAGTGGGGATTCCACCCTACCCACTTCATTCTGCAACTAAGCACACTCATGAAAGCTTGTAAGATAGCCACTTCCTGCCACTATGTTGTTGTTAGGTGCCATTGAGTCAGTAGTGACTCATAGTGACCCTATACACAACAGAACAAAATACTGCCTGGTCCTGGGCCAACCTCACAATTGTTGCCATGTTTGAGCCCACTGATGCTGCCATTTTGCCAATCCATCTCTCTGCGGGCGTCTTCCTCTTTTTCTCTGACCCTCCACCTTACCAAACATGATATCCTTCTCCAGCAACAGGTCCCTCCTGACAATATGTACAAAGTATGAGAGATGAAGTTTGGCCATCCTGGCCTCCAAGGAGCACTCTGGAGTGCTCTTCTTCCAACACAGATTTGTTTATTCTTTGGGCGGCCCATGGCACTTTCAATATAGCCCCCCATTTTTAAATTGCCCATTCCTATCAACCCAGTGCACTGAGGAAACACACTTTTTCCTTGATATGAAGAAGCCTTCCATTCTGGTTGGAATTTTGAGCAATCTTTTTTAGTTGGAGTTTTGAACAAAGTTTTGCATCCATAAGCAAAAGTCTAGTTCATCAAACTGTAGCTATTTGTAATTGCTCCCAATACCAAACATCTTTATCTTCATCTGGTTGA